ATCATAGAGTTTTTAATGCAGTGTGACAGAACGCTTCTTGTCCTTTCATCTGTTGCCGTGCATATTCTTTAAGGATATCACCTGCATGGCTATAATATATATATATATAACAGAGATATTGGCTGCACCAGGTCTGAGCTTCTTCTAGTTAGGTTGCCTTCACCAAAAGATGGCTGCCTGCAAGGCTCCAAATATTTGGCAAGAAGCAGACATGAGAGCCACATCGATCAGTAGTAGCATCTAGGAGTAGGTGTTTACTGCTTTTCTTGACTTTATCTGTCTATTTTATTTAGTTAAAGGAACACGCTACTACACGCGCTACATGAGACCTATACGTCATATATATACGGTGCTTAAATTTTCTAGCTGACAGAGTATATATACGGTGCTTAGTGTCGAGCTGGTACATATAGTCTGTCAACTATAAAGTTTCAGTATATATACGCCCTACATGAGCCATTTGGAGGCAGTCTTTACATTCCCTGCTATTTTAATCCCCACATGGTATGTACCAGCTCGACACTAAGTGCCTCCAGATGGCTTCGATTCCTTGCTATGGTTGGGGATGAAAACGGATGGATACAAATTGATATCGCTGATATTGTATTTGTTTTTAGGGAAAATTGTGTTCTTGCTCTTCTTCAACAGTCCAATTGTGATTTTGTTTTTGTTTTTTTAACTTTGTGATTTTGTCCTCGTTATTTTGAAACGAATCCTCCATTTGCCCCCCTGTTTCGGATGTCCGTTAGATAAGGATGGAATAAATGGTTTAAAAAAATAAAATCTGTAAACACAAAAGGAAAAAGACCAAACTGCCCCTTATCAGCCTCTCCCCCCATCCGACCAGAAGGAAAACGCAGGCACGGGCTTTCTCGCGGGCGACGGCTGCATCGGGGGCACATCCGAGGCGGGGTCCGGTGGCGGCGGCTGCGTCAGGGGCACTTCCAAGGCGGGGTACAGCGGCGGCGGCTACTGCATCGGCAGTGCAGGCGGCGACGGACGTGCAGGGCGGCGGCGGCGGCCTGCGCCCCATCGCGCGGAGGACGTGGAGCGGCCTCTCCTGCCGGCGCCCGAGACTGGCTGCTGCGCTGCCCCTCACGCAGAGGACGCAGGGTGGCCTCGCCCAGCGGTGGTCCGGCCTGCTCGCACTCCGCCTTGCGCGGTGGAGGTGGGGCGGCCTCGGCCGGCGGCACACTAGCTCACTCGCCTGCGCTTGCCGTGCCGCCCATGCCTGGTGCCCGCTGGAGGAGCGGCAGTGGGACATGAGCAGCAGCCTACTGGAGCCACCGCAGCAGGGCAGGCGCCGGTTCCTCGCTGGAGCTGCCGGTGACGGAGGGGCGGCCCTGGGCCTCCTGCTGGAGCTACAGTCGGAGGGACGACCTCTGTAGTTTAGGCTGACCCATTCGTATGAATGCTAGCTACTGCCTACTAGTAGTAGATAATTTCTGTAAAGATTAGTTTGATGAATGTGACGATATATGTTGCCTGCTGGCTGTGTGGAAATGTGGATTTCAGTAACAATCACTACATTATCGTTCAATTTGTTAGAAGCATCCACACCCCGATTAGCTCCTGATGTAGACCGCATGGTTCATTTTATTTGAGGATGAATTAATTTGAAATCATTGCAAATTGTGCCAAATATATTTGATAAAATATAACCATTTTTTGTTAAAATACAATATAAATGTCTTATTCCAAATCAGGGGTAAAATCACAAACAACCATAAAAACTAGGGGCAAAATAACATGGGCATAGTTGTCATTTGTATAAAAGTTAACACCGTTAGGTGAGGATGACGGAATAGGGACAAAGTGGTGCTTTGTTTTGAAAACGTAAGGGCAAATTCATAAAGTAAAAAAAAACAGGGGCAAAATCACAATTTCGATACAAAACAATGGTATAAATGCAAGAGTCCCTCGTTTTTATATTTCTATTCGAATTCGGATTCGGACATGGATAGCTACCGGATACATATATGAATATGGACTGTCCCGGTTACAGATACAAATAATGAGTATCGAATACGGTATGAATCGGATTCGGAGATTCGGATATCGAGTGAAAGCAACATATATATATACTACACTTCATATTATTTACAAAGGCAGTGGAACTACACTTTATATTTTTACACACTTTTATTATTTAAAAACCATTTACTAAGCCTAAACCAAGTTAAATCAAGAACTCAGTCATACATGTACCAATGAAGTTGAAATTGTTACCACAGACCAAGCATGACATTAATAGCATATCAATTGGAGCAATATGATTGCAGACATGAATTTCACACTAAAAAGCATAGCCAAGCATCTACAACAAAAACTTTCTACTGAAACCTGTCATATTATATGTTAACTGCATAGATCTACTTATGTGGAGCTCAACAAAACTGGATTTGCCACTTTTGGAGTTTTCTACGAATTACCACGCATTTATCAAGTTTCAGCCGATTCAAAGAATAATGAAAAACGGAAACAACTGACATAGACTTTGCAACTGCAACCCTAATTTCTATGGAATTAACCCGCAGCACATGAACACTATACAGCACTATTCATCTAAGTCTAGATCTTTGCATTGGGAACCTTGGAGAACTTCCCTAATCATTTTTCCTCCTTCCCTCTCTTCTTCCTCACAAACAGAGCACCGGCGGCCTGTGTATGCGCTGGCTGGCCTATGCTGTTCGGATAATATCCGTCCGGATATATCCGATTTTTTTTCGGATTATCTAATATCCTACCGATACTGATGGTATTACATTCGTATTTGTATCCGCATAAGGTATCCATTTTATTATCCGTATCCGAAAAAATATCTGGATATCCGAGTAACTATCCAAAATAAGTGTTCATATCATTCGGTAGAACAGACGGTCGGATAAATATTCGTACCATTTTCATCCCTAGCTACAGTTAACAAAGAAACACGAGCTGGTGAAGTTAAAAATAGAAGCTTCACCAGCTTCTAATTCATTCTAAGAAGAGAGATCTTAGCTGAAGCTGATTTTTTGTGAGAAAAAAATACTGTAGATTCTAGCTGATATGTTTAAACGAACAGCCCTAGGGAGCTAGAACCCGAACTGGCTAGAGCTTCGGAGGAACAAGGGCTAGTTTGACAAGGCTCCGACTCCTTTAAAAGGGCTTCAACTCTGCCTCCTTTTGTGGAGCAACTTCTCTAACAAAGAAAGTTATTTTAGAAAAATATTTGACAAAAACAACTATTGTGACGATTTTGTTATAATTCGTGCTATGTTTGTAAGAAGCTACGTTTTTGCGACTCTGCCCACCCAATTTTTTTTTTTGAAAATATGGCAGGAGCTCTGCCTTTCAATTAAGCGGGAAAAAGATAGTTTATGTACAAGCTAAGATAGTCGAGGAAAGGAAAAGAAACCTCCCCTCCTCCCCCCCCCTCAAGCGTGTAAAACACCCGGCCCACCGGAGAGGGGTCATCTGCTACCCATACTCAATTGCTCTCTTCCTTTGCTCTATATCCTCCTTTATCTTTGAGGCCACCTGCAGCACTGTATGCATCTCGTTGTCAAAGATTCTCCTATTTCTTTCTTTCCAAACGTTCCAGAAGGTGTAGATTATTGTCCCGTTGAGCCTCCTACGTTCTGATCTTGGCACTTTCGCCGTCACCTCTTCCCACCATGATCTGATATCGGTGGGTTGCACCTGGGGTTGCTGCTGGATCTGAGGGAAGTTCTCCCACGATAGGATATGATTCCAAACCCCCTTCGCGAAGGGGCAACATAGGCATAGGTGGAGGCCGGTCTCTAAAGGGCCATTGCAGAGCACACATTGTTGATGGTGTGGCCACCCTCTCCTCTGTAGGTTTTGTGCCGTTAGAATTTTATCTTGCACTAAGATCCAGGCAAAAATCTTGCATTTGTTCTCCACATGCGCACTCCAGATCAACTCTGTACTGAATGAGGCGAGCGAGCCTCTGAACTGTATCCTGTAGGCCGAGCGGGTGGAGTATTTCCCGTCACCGGTCCACCGCCAGGTGATGGTGTCCTGGGCGCCTTGCTGCAAGTGCACTTCTTGTATTCGTATCCAAAGGGACACGAACTCCTCCATGTGGACAGCGGAGGTGATTTTCGTCTGTAGCTTGCGTATCCAATTGTTGTTCCGGAGCTCTTGTTTCACCGTTCGGTTTTTCCTTGAAATTAGGCAAAACAAGTTTGGTGCTAAGTACCTAGGCGCGTGTCCATCGAGCCAGTTTTGGTGCCAAAAACTAGTCTTTGCACCATCCCCCAAAGTTATAATGATTGAGGAGTTGAAGAGGAGACGGTCAACATCAGAGCATGGAAGCTCGTAGCCGTTCCAAGGCTTGTGGTCGTCCATCCATTCCTGCCAAAGCCATCGTAACCGGAGGGCTCTCCCAAATCTATCAAGGTCGATGACGCCTAACCCACCCAGAACTTTTGGCCTGGTAACAGTTGGCCAGTTAACAAGGCAGTGTCCACCATTGGCGTTCTCCTCCCCCTTCCATAGGAACGATCTTCTGATTTTGTCAATCTTTTTCTTAGCCCATGCAGCTAGAGGAAACACTGTGAGGTGGTAGGTTGGCATGGAGGAGAGGACAGATGTTACAAGAGTGAGACGTCCCGCTCTGTTCTGCCCACCCAATAGAAAAACGGCTGTGGCTCCTCCCGGCTTATTCGCCAGAGCTGTTTTTTGAATGGCCGTCTGACAGCACTTTGATCAGAGCCGGAGCCACTGGAGAAGCCCCGTGAAACGAGAGTTTTCACACGCAGTAAGGACTAGGGTTCAGATCTCAAAAGAATACAATAAGTGAGGAATCAGGAGACGAACCATGATGACAGCTAGTCACCTGCTCTTGGACTGCACTTGATGTTTCAGTGTCTGTATGGGGCAGTCTTCAACGGGCCCCTGGCCTATAAAATACATACACAAGAACGTGGCCTGTTGAAAAGAGCAAGACTCTGTCTGGCCAACTTCCAGTGATAGGCACATTACTAAAACAGAGAATGGAGCAGACTGGTGAGATGGGGGAGATTGGACGAGAAGCTCGCCAAGAAGGTGGAAAAGATGAGGAATTTCGGGTTCAGGTACATAATCACATTTGTCCACGTTTGCAGGTCTAAATCCAGCCCCCTTTTTGTTACTGTCCAGTGCTAATCTTTTCTGCTGGCCTGTAACAGCCAAAATGGAGGAAGTTCTTGGCCCATGTTGGGCCTGGAGCTCTTGTGGCCATTGGCTTCCTGGATCCTGGCAACTGTAAGCTCTCTCATCTTTTTTTTTCTCAGATTGGCATACTGTTTTCTGTTTAGATACTCTGTTGTTGGGAAGAAATAGAAAGTAATTATAGTGGTAATGCTTGGTTCTGAATATGGTTTGACAGTGGAAACTGACATGCAAGCTGGGGCTGACTTCAAGTACCAGGTAGGCTATGTAGTTCTTGGCTTCTTGTCATAGCGAACCACAACTACCAACTTTGTATTAGTCAATGCTTTATCAAGCTTTTATTGCCCTCCCAGAAATAGATATCAAAATTGCAAATTTCAGCTGCAAAATCAATGCATAAAAGAGATTTATGACGAGTTGTAAACTATACAAGGGAAAGGAAAAGAAACATAGAAGACTATGTTATTACCTGAAAATTTATATCTTTTTTCAGATTCCAATATTAGTCCATAGTAGAATTTCAATTTTGAAAGCTGGTAGATTATTCATGAAATACCTCGTGGACATTTTCAGGTTTTTTTTGTGTTGACTCAGTAGCTGAATTAGAACGATTATTCCTACTGAAAGTGCATGATCTGCATATAATATTTCAACTGTACTAAACATGTGTCTGCACCAACAAGGATCTGCCCTGCTTTTAGTTTTAGTGCTCTGCATTTCCAGACCTTAGTTGACCAGCATTGAGCAGAGCAGCAAACTGCGTCATTTCCTCAATTTCTTTTCTCAAGTCTTCAGCACCTTCTGATCATCTCGCTTTGTACTGCAATTTTATGATGAACAGCTTCTCTGGGTGATTTTAGTTGGAATGGTCTTTGCACTTTTGATCCAAACACTAGCTGCCAACCTTGGAGTGAAGACAGGTTTCATTTCACATCCATGTTGATCTCTGTACATCAAATCCTGAAAAGGCAATTAGGCACATAACCTCACCAAACCCATGGATGTCATTGGTCAATTTTAGTATAGGGAAGCATCTTGCTGAACTCTGCAGGGAAGAGTACCCGCGTTTCGTCAACATTTGCTTGTGGATCATCGCGGAGCTGGCAGTGATATCTGATGACATCCCTGAAGGTTGGTAAATTAGACAATTAGTTTTCCTCCTTCTTGTGTGTGCTCTGACGACATCCCTGAAGGTTGATCGATTGTTCCAATACTGCAGTGCTGGGCACAGCCTTTGCATTCAACATACTGCTCAAGATCCCAGTGTGGGCTGGAGTCATCCTCACGGTGTTCAGCACCCTCTTGCTTCTTGGAGTGCAGAGATTCGGGGTATGGTATTACATATAAACGTTCATTCACACTGAGGAAGTGAGGATACAATACCTTGAAGACGGTTTGGCCTACCCACTAACTAAGGCATACATATGTGCACCTCACCACACAGGCCCGCAAACTGGAGTTCATCATAGCGGCTTTCATGTTCACCATGGCGGCCTGCTTCTTCGGGGAGCTGAGCTACCTGAGGCCGTCCGCGGGAGAGGTTGTCAAGGGCATGTTCGTCCCCAGGCTCCAAGGGAAAGGTGCCGCGGCCAACGCGATCGCACTCTTCGGCGCCATCATCACGCCGTAAGCAATCAATTCATCTGCTACCTGACATGACCATGATGCTGTCATCAATAAGACTCTTCTGGATTTGATTGATGATCCATGACTTAGAAATCCATAGTTGGAAGTTTGAAACGTGATTGGTCCGTACAGGTACAACTTGTTCCTGCACTCGGCTCTTGTGCTCTCGAGGAAGACCCCACGATCAGTGAAAAGCATCAGGGTGGGTCGTTGCACTGAATACAAGATTAGTGTCAGGATCCTGCTGCAGCTATATTAGTACACACTGTGTATCCTTCCTTCCTGATGAATAATGGCTAATGGCTTGGCTTCGTTCTGGCACTGGAATGGACAGGCTGCCTGCAGGTACTTCCTCATCGAGTGCAGCCTCGAGTTCGTGGTGGCGTTCCTCATCAACGTCGCGGTGGTCGTCGTCGCCGGATCCATCTGCAACGCAGGCAACCTCTCCCCGGACGATGCCAACACGTGCAGTGACCTCACCCTGCAGTCCACCCCTCTGTTGCTCAGGGTACACTAGTACACTCATGCATGCTGTACTGTATGTTCTGAACTGGATATAGATGAACTGATCACGCTCTTTGCTTCACTTTCAGAATGTTTTGGGGAGATCAAGCTCCGTCGTGTACGCTGTTGCGCTGCTGGCTTCTGGACAGAGCACCACCATTAGCTGCACATTTGCTGGGCAGGTTATCATGCAGGTATTGCCAGTAGAACACTACTGTACACTGATCGATCCAGGTGTCGTCATCATGCATGTCCATCCACCCAGACCAAGTGTTTAGTAGTTAATTAAGGCCCTGCCATTGCCATGGCAATCATTCTGTCTATACTTGTGTATTTGCAGGGGTTCCTGGACATGAGGATGAAGAACTGGGTGCGGAACCTGATCACGCGAGTCATCGCCATCGCTCCCAGCCTCATCGTCTCCGTCGTCAGCGGGCCGTCAGGCGCCGGCAAGCTCATCATCTTCTCATCGGTGAGCAATTCAATCAGTTGGGTTGGATGATCCATCCCTCGAGGTTCAGGAGCTAGCAGTTATCTGTTTCTGTTCTGTTCTAATGACAGGTACGGTGTTTGAATACTGCAGATGGTGCTGTCGTTTGAGCTGCCATTCGCGCTCATCCCGCTCCTCAAGTTCTGCAACAGCAGCAAGAAAGTCGGGCCCCTCAAGGAATCCATCTACGTACGTAAGCCGTCTTCCAATTCATTAATTTCTGACAAGGAATACATGTATCTGATGATCCAGTCTCAAGTATCATCTATGCATGCACGCAGACGGAGGTGATCGCGTGGATGCTGAGCTTCGCGCTCATAGTGGTGAACACCTACTTCCTGGTGTGGACTGTTAGCATATTGTACATATAGTAGGTCCCTTAATTGTGGATGTAATCACTCGCCTGTGCGGTAGGCTTGCATACCACCCCGGCTGCCCTATATGTACTCTTGTACACGTATGGAATACAATCAATCGTTCCCACACTTTCATGGTATCAATCGCGGTTCCGATCCGCTACCCTTCCGCAACCCAAACCAGCGCCGCCGCTGATCCGATCGCCACCCCCGTCGCTGACTACCTGTCGCCGGGTGTGTCGCCGGTCTCATCGCCCGCGCTGCCGATCCGATCGCCTGCCCCGTAGCTTCCCTCGTCACCGGGTGTGGCCGCTGATCCGATCCTGCCTCCGCTCCTGATCTTCTATTGTACGTGCTGTACGTCTCCCGCCTGCTGCCGCCGTCGTCAACGTGTTGTACGTGCTGTACGCGGCTGTACATCCTGTACGTGCTTGGAGCTGCACACATCGCCGGGTGTGCTGCGTGCTGTACAGGCTGTGCACGTGCTGTACGCTTGCCTGCTGCACACATCGCCGGGTGTGCTGTTGATCGCGCCACCAGGTGCGGCCGCCGGTCCTGCCCCTCATGGCGGACGACGATGATGCTGCGGCCGCGGCTGCTGCGGCCAAGGCCGCCGAAGAGGCCCGTGCTGAGAAAGCACGCCGCACCGAGGAAGAGCGCCTCCGTTCCGTCGCGCTGGACGAGTACGAGGCTGCCCACGAAGCTATCTGGGCGCAGGCCACCGCCGTCGTCAACGTCAAGGCCCTCATCCCCGTCATTCTCGATCAAGCCACCAACACCTACACCAAGTGGCGCGGCATGTTCCTCACCGTCCTCGGCAAGTACGCGCTGACTCGCCACGTCCTTGAGGATGAGGTGTTCCCCATGCACCCGGCGTGGGTGCAGGCCGACTGTGTCGTGTTGACATGGATATACGGCACGGTCTCCGGCGATCTACAGTAGTCGCTCATGATGCGGCAGCGACCTGCACGCGAAGCTTGGTGCTACCTCGAGTATGAGTTCCTCGGTCAGCGGGAATCCCACGCCCTCCTCCTCGAGACGCAATTCCGCAACTTCCGCCAAGACTCCCTGACGATCACAGATTATTGCCGTCGTCTCGAGTCCATGGCTGCGTCACTTGCAGAGTTCGGCGACCCCATCGGTGATCGGCAAATGGTGCTCACCCTCCTCCGTGGCTTGAGCGGCAAGTTCCACCACATGGTGTCCATTCTCAAGATGCATCACATGTTCCCGACCTTCGCGGAGGCTCGGACGCACCTCCTCCTGGAGGAGATGGAGATCGACGCGAGGCCGCCCTCGCCTCCTGCCACACTCGTCGCCGCGCCACGCCCGGTGGCAAACACTGGTGGCCCTGCCGCGCCGCGCTATGGGGCGCCCACTCCTCCTGCGCGCCCCCACGGTGCGCCCTCTAGTGGACAGCAGGGAGCACCCACTGGTGGCCAGCGTTCCCGCCGACGTCGCGGCCGCGGCGGACGTGGCGGCCAGCAGCAGCAGCAACCTGCTGCTGGCGCCCCTCTCGGTTTCAGCCATGCATCCCCGGGTGTGCACCCGTCATTTGCACACCCCTGGGCCGGCACCCTCCAGATGTGGCCCTACGGGCGTCCTCCACCGGCGCCACCAGCGTTCACCGCCGTCCCGCAGTACGGCTATGGCGGCTCCTTCAGCGGTGGCGCCTATGGCTCTGGCTACACCGCTCCGCCTTCACCGTACGTCTACGGGGGAGCAGCGCCAGCGTTCTAGGGGCCCTCGCCGGCCTACCAGGTGTCACAGCCGGCACCCTGGAACCCCGTCCATGGAGGCGCTTGGACTCAAGACTCCCTGGCACAGTCGTTCAACACCATGACGCTCACTCCGCCAGCACCGTCCGAGTGGTACGCCGACTCCGGTGCTGGTTCTCACATAACCGAGGACCCTGGTAACCTCTCCACCATTTCCCCACCATCATCTTTTACACCTTCATCTATCATTGTGGGCAATGGAGCACTCCTTCCTGTCACTGCCACCGGATCACATATTTTTTCATCTCCACATCGTAATCTTGTTCTTAACAATGTTCTGGTGTCCCCCAACATTATTAAGAATTTGATTTCCATTCGTCGTTTTACCACCGATAATAATTGTTCTATTGAATTTGATCTGTTTGGTCTTTCTGTGAAGGATTTGCAAACCAGGAACGTGATCGTCAGGTGCAATAGCTCTGGCGACCTCTACCCGTTCTTTCCACCCGCCACCAGCACCTCCGCACTTATCGCTGCACCCACCTCACTTTGGCATCGTCGTCTCGGGCACCTTGGGCGCGAAGCTCTGTCCAAGCTTATTCGTTCCAGTGTTATCTCATGTAATAAAGATGATCTCCACCATATATGCCATGCGTGCCAACTTGGTCATCACACACGGCTTCCTTTTGGATCATCTAGCTCTAGGGCTAGTCATAATTTTGATTTGATACACTGTGATCTTTGGACATCTCCTATTGTTAGTGTGTCAGGGTACAAATATTATCTTGTTATTCTTGATGATTGCTCACACTACATTTGGACATTTCCACTTCGCCTAAAATCTGAGACGTTTTCCACTCTCTCAAATTTTTTTGCCTTTATTCACACGCAATTTGGCACCACCATCAAGAGCATTCAGTGCGACAATGGCCGTGAATTTGATAATTCCACTGCCCGCACGTTCTTTCTCTCCCATGGTGTTGCACTCCGCATGTCGTGTCCATATACTTCTCAGCAAAATGGCAGAGCCGAGCGCTCCCTTCGCACCATTAATAATATTATGTGTTCTCTGCTATTTCAGGCGAGTCTTCCTCCGGTTTACTGGGTTGAGGCCCTCCACACTGCCACCTATCTTGTGAACCGCCTCCCCACCAAAACCCTCGCCTCCTCGACACCTTACACCCACCTTCATTCCACCCAACCCTCCTATGACCATCTCAAAGTTTTTGGGTGTGCTTGTTACCCCAACTTGTCATCCACAGCACCCCACAAACTTGCACCTCGTTCTTCCCTATGCGTCTTCCTCGGCTACTGCTTGGAACACAAAGGCTATCGGTGTCTCGAGCTCCAGTTGAATCGCATTATTCTCTCCCGACATGTCATTTTTGATGAATTTTTTCCCTTTCGCCGACATGTCGACCACGCTCATGGCTTCCTCCGCCTTGGACTTCCTCGTTGATGAGCATGATCTCACCGCTCCACTTCCTGGAGTTCGCGTTGTGCATGCAGGTACCCCAGCTCCTCCGACGTCGCCCACCGTGCATGACCCTGTGCCTGTGCATGCGCCTGTTGCCGCGTCCCAGTCCGCTCCTGCACCGCCGAGCCCTGGAACGCGGTCGCCCAGCTCGCCCCTGACCGGCGCTACTGCCCCTGTGCATACCGCACAGGCTGCTGCCAGTAGCGCCCCGGTCGCCTCACCGACTGCACCATCCGGGGCTGCTGCCCCTGTGCCATTAGCACGGGTTGCTGCCAGCAGCACCACGGCGCCAGGTGCTGCTGCCCCTGTGCCATCCGCACGGCCTGCTGCCAGCAGCTCCACGACAACCGGCCGCACCATCGCCACTCGCCCGGTCTCCATCACCCCGGTCACCAATGCGCACTCAATGCGCACGCGCGGCAAGGCTGGCATCACCAAACCTGTGGATCGCCTCAACCTCCACACTGTGCCCATGTCGCCTTTGCCGCGCTTTCGGGACGCTCTGTCAGACCCCAATTGGCGCTCTGCTATGCAGGCTGAGTATGATGCTCTTCTCGCCAATGACACTTGGAGCCTTGTTCCTCGGCCGCCTGGTGTCAATCTTGTGACTAGCAAATGGATTTATCGTCACAAGTTGCGGGCCGATGGTTCCCTTGATCGCTATAAGGCTCGCTGGGTATTGCGGGGTTTCACACAGCGCCCCGGTGTTGATTATGATGAGACTTTCAGCCCAGTGGTCAAGCCTGCGACTGTCCGGGTGGTTCTATCTCTGGCATTGTCTCAGCAGTGGCCCATTCATCAACTGGATGTCAAGAATGCATTCTTACACGGCACCCTCACTGAGACAGTATACTGTGTTCAGCCCAGTGGTTTTGTTGACTCCTCACGTTCGGATTATTTCTGCCACCTCAACAAGTCTCTTTATAGCCTGAAGCAAGCGCCCTGTGCCTGGCGCCACAGGTTCGCCTCACACCTTGTGTCCCTCGGCTTTGTTGAGACTCAGTCTGATACTTCATTATTCTCATACCATCGGGGTTCAGACACTGCCTATCTGCTGCTGTATGTGGATGATGTTGTTCTTACTGCCTCCTCCGCCAGATTTCTCCAGCAGATTATTGCAGCTCTCCAGCGTGAGTTCGCCATGACCGATATGGGACAGCTACACCATTTTTTGGGCATCTCTATGACACATTGTGCTGGTGGTCTTTTTCTCTCTCAGCGGCAGTACACTCTGGATATTTTGGAGCGCGCCGGGATGAGTGCTTGCAAACCTTGCAGCACCCCTGTTGACCTTCACTCCAAATTATCTGCAGATGGGGCTCCGGTTGCCGACGCCACACAGTACCGCAATTTGGGTGGTGCTTTACAGTATCTGACTTTCACCCGACCAGATATCGCCTTTGCAGTTCAGCAGATTTGCTTATATATGCATGATCCTCGTGAGCCCCACCTTGTTGCACTCAAGAGGATTTTGCGCTACCTGCAGGGTTCTCTCTCACTTGGGCTGACCATGCGTCGGTCACCACCTGCAGAGCTGGTCGTCTACACTGATGTTGACTGGGCCGGCTGTCCCGGCACCCGACGTTCCACCTCCGGTTACGCAGTGTTCCTTGGGGACAATCTGGTGTCCTGGTCCTCTAAGCGTCAGCAAACAGTCTCCCGGTCTAGTGCAGAGGCCGAGTATCGTGCTGTGGCAAATGGTGTTGCTGAAGCTACTTGGCTCCGCCAGCTGCTTACCGAGCTTCGCCACCCGCCTCGCCGTGCCACCCTGGTCTATTGTGATAACATCAGTGCTGTTTACCTCTCTAGAAATCCGGTGTAGCATCAGCGGACAAAGCATGTTGAGATTGATCTTCACTTTGTCAGGGAGAAGGTCACCCTCGGTCACATTCGGGTACTTCATGTTCCGACGACATCATAGTACGCCGACGTCTTCACCAAGGGCCTTCCTACCTCGTTGTTTCAGGAGTTTCGATCTAGCCTGAACGTCCGCCATGCTCCGATCAGACTACGGGGGAGTGTTAGCATATTGTATATATAGTAGGTCCCTTAATTGTGGATGTAATCACGCGCCTGTGCGGTAGGCTTGCATGCCACCCCGGCTGCCCTATATGTACTCTTGTACACGTACATTCCCACACTTTCATGGACGTACGTGGACTGGGTGGTGCACAACCACCTCCCCAAGTACGCCAACGCGCTCGTCTCCATCGTCGTCCTCGCGCTCATGGCCGCCTACCTCGTCTTCGTCGTCTACCTCACGTTCAGGAGGGACGCGGTGGCCACGTACGTGCCAGTGTCGGAGCGCGCGCAGGCGCAGGTAGAGGCCGGCGGCGGGGCGCAGGGGGTGGCGGCATCGGCCGCTGACGACGCCGACCAGCCGGCGCCGTTCAGGAAGGACCTGGCCGATGCCTCCATGTAGATCGGTAGATGTGTAGATGCAGATGCTTCGTTCGGGCAGTGACGATGTCGATCGATCACTGTTCATGCTGATCCTCTGCTGCATACTCGCTCACTGTACTCTGGGCTGGGGCTGATATGTGATTTGTCGATTGCCGTGTCGAGAGGTGTCCCGCAGGTTCATTCATTTGTCCCTAGCTTATCATCGGATCTTGCAATTGGCCGTGTACACGTAGGAGTGTCACCAGTGTGCATTGTGCAAGCGACTAGGTTGCGTTTGCGTTTGGTTCGTTTGGTTTGTGGGGTAGATAGGGTGAGGATGAACCCGTCGTTGCCCATCGTTTGCCCACCGTCTCATTAGTGGGGCTCTCAAGTGTCAGCAACTCAACCTCCAAGCGCGCGTTAGTAGCCGCCATGGACGATGGGGGAACTCCGCACGTCAGGCCACCCTGCACCTCCATGGACGGCAAGCCACCTCCTCCCGCTAGGCCACCTCGACACGCCAGTCGCTCTCGCCCAGCTGGCCACGCCGTCTCCGAGCACCACCACTGTATATGCTCACCCCGCTCAACCCTATCCACAAGAGCTCCGCATCAGGGTCCACGCCATCCCTGACCGCCCCCACCCTAGCGTGCCTCTGCCCGGAGGAGCTACATGCCGCGGTCCACGTGAGAATTTCCACCGGAGGCCACACAAGAGCTCATGGCAAAGCTCCGTGCCGTGCCATATAGGCCCCAACTCAAGAAGACCTGCACGAAAAAGAGGAGCGCAGACGGACCCTTGACGTCGTGAAGGTAGGATGTGTGCATACTTCTGAATTTTAGGGAACGGGTTACCTCGGATCTAGAGAAAATATTCCTATCTAGATATGACTACGTCCCTCTCCCCCCTCAACCAAATTCCTGTGAAACTAGGATCATCCCCAGTCGTCTTTCCTCATCTCAACCGAACACCACCTAAGGGTCTGTTTAGGACTACTCCATTCTATAAAAACTAGCTTTGCTCCACCACAGGCTGAGAGCCCACGCCTGCTGTCAGTGGAAAATGTTAGTAACACATTTTTATATTTTCTTATCATGTAACTTTTTAAAATCGCAAAAATAAAAAAAGCTCTATCAAAATCCACAAAACAGCACTCATGTCCACATCTCTAGGCGTACGACAAAGTTACTTCCAATCGCATATGCAAATGTAAAACATACCTGTTACGAAACGGTGCCTGCCAACCGACACCTATTCATCAGTGATCTCATCCAATTAGATGTGCAGTTAGAGATAGGATTAGAGATTAGATTTACATTAACTGAGTCACCGAAGGGGCATGTCTCTTGGTGACGAGATGTAACTTCTCCCGTCGGTTGTGTCTGTTGGACACACCCCTTCACTTATATATATATCTAAGAGATAAATGAAAGCAACAGTTGTTCCCAAAATCATTGTTCGTTTTCATTCACTTTTAACACGTTATTAGCCACGTTGCTCTTCTGGACAAGCGAAAGAGAACGACAAAGGCACATGCCCCTGAACCCCCATCGGTAAGCATGGCAAGGATCGACTTACCGTCACATGTTGTTCGTCAACTGTTCTTCGCCCTTCACCGCGTCGGTGGAGTTCACCGTGGCCTGATCCACCACCACGGCCACCATGGACAACGCCACAGCATCTTCGAGCGCCTTGGGACTCATGTTCGCCGCAACATTGCCCATGGTCATGGCCATGGTCCTTTCGGCCACCTCTTCGACTCCGCTGTTCGTGGCTTCCATTCCGATGCAGTTCCTCGCCGCCGATGGACTCCTGTTCATGGCCGCCATGCTTCTCCTCCGCGCGGTCTTCGTCTGCAGAGCCAGCCACCATCTCCTCGCCTTGGCTTGGACGGTGCCGGCCCCAACAACGCTGCGCCTCCAGCGGTTGAAGCCCCGACGCCACCAGTCGATGAAGCCCCGGTGCCACCAGTTGTTGAAGCCCCGGCGCCGCCCGTTGATGAAGTGGTTGCCGAGCCCATCGCTATACCCGCGTACGTCCCCATGGAGCCGATGTCGCCAGCACCGGCACCACCTTGCTACTGGTGTGACTTTTGCAAGGAGTACATGCTGATGCCACACACGTTGGAGTACAACTACACGCTACCATCGCCCACACCGGTCGATCCGACTCAAGTGGCGACTGACAGTGGCATGCCCGGTGGCATCCTCAATCCTTGGATCTTCAACACCGTCACCGCGCCGATGCTCCAGCAAATGAAGACCAAGGATGAGGACATGGTGGCTGCCCCCGGCATCGGCAACCTCTTCAACCCCGGCGGCACGCGCGAGGCCAGGACCGGCGTCCCGCCGTACACCTTCCTCGACGCGGCCGGCCCCTCGGCTCCTCCTCCGAAGGTGAAAGGTCCTAATGGCTAGAGGGGGGTGAATAGCCTAATAAAATTCTACAACAACACTTAACAAAATGTGTTAGACAATTTTGCGGCGAAGCGAGTGTTGCGCTAGCCTACTAAAATGCAAGCCACCTACCACAATTCTATTTTGAATAGTGTATGTCCACACAATAGCTATGACACTTAGCTAAATTAGTGTGCTCTCAAAGACTAACTAAAGAGCAACACTAATCAAACAAACAAGCTCTCACAACTAGCTACACTAAAGAGCTTGATAACTAGTTTACGGTAATGTAAGAGTGAGCAAGAGAGTTATACCGCCGTGTAGTGGTAGGAACCAATCAATCACAATAATGAATACCAATGTAGACCAATCACCTCGGAATCAAATGATGAACACAATGATTTTTACCGAGGTTCACTTGCTTGCCGGGCAAGCTAGTCCTCATTGTATGCGATTCACTCACTTGGAGGTTCACGCTACCGATTGGCATCACTCGCCAAACCCTCAATAGGGTGCCGCACAACCAACACAAGATGAGGATCACACAAGCCACAAGCAATTTACTAGAGTACCTTTTGGCGCTCACGCCGGAAAGGTCAAGAACCCTCACAATCACCACGATCGGAGTCGAGACAATCACCTCCTCCACTCAACGATCCTTGCTGTTCCAAGCCGCCTAGGTGGCGGCAACCACCAAGAGTAACAAGCGAAATCCACAGCGAAACACAATCACCAAGTGCCTCTAGATGCAATCACTCAAGCAATGCACTTGGATTCACTCTCAATCTCACTATGATGATGAATCAATGATGTAGATGAGTGGGAGGGATTTGGCTAGGCTCACGAGGTTGTTATGTCAATGAAAATGTGCAAGAGAGTGAGCTTGAGCCGGCCATGGGGCTATAAATAGAGCCCCAGTCAAATAGAGCCGTTATACCCCTTCACTGGGCAAAACGCGCTCTGACCGGACGCTCCGGTCATACTGACCGGACGCTGGCCCTCAGCGTCCGGTCGCCTGATGGACGCCACACGTCACCAGCTTCAAACGCTGTTCGTCGATTTCAACGGTCAAGGAAGTGACCGACGCTTCGGTAGAACCGACCGGACGCTGAAGCCCCAGCGTCCCGTCGTTTCCAAAGAAGCTCCCGAGGCATGTTTTTCGATCGACGCGTCCGTCCACATTTGACCGGACGCAACGACCCGGCGTCCGGTGCTCAACCCTAGCCACTCGTGTTGCCCGACAAATCGACCGGGACGCGAGCTTTTTCAGTCGTCCGGCCAAGAGACCGACGCCAAAGATCATTTCGATCAACTCCATTCCAACTCTTACTTCTTCACCCTTGCTCAAGAGTGCCAACCACCAAAATTTTGCATCCGCGCAATAGAAAATAGACATTTCATTTTCCCGAAAGCGCCAATCCTGTCGAAAGCAAGCTTCAAGGGAGGGAGAGAGGGACCCAAACCCATCTCAACCCTATAAACACCTTGTGCACATGTGGTAGCATATTTACACAAATATTATCAAGGGTGTTAGCACTCCACTAGATCCTAAATGCATATGCAATGAGTTAGAGCATCTACTGGCACTTTGATAACCGCATTCCGATACGAGTTTCACCCCTCTTAATAGTACGGCTATCAAACCTAAATGTGATCACACTCTCTAAGTGTCTTGATCACCAAAATAAAATAGCTCCTACAAGTTATACCTTTGCCTTGAGCTTTTTGTTTTTCTCTTTCTTCTCTTCAAGTTTAAGCCCTTGATCATCTCCATGCTATCACCATTGTCATGTTATGATCTTCATTTGCTTCTCTACTTGAAGTGTGCTACCTATCTCATGATCACTTGATGAACTAGGTTAGCACTTAGGGTTTCATCAATTTACCAAAACCGAACTAGAGCTTTCAATCTCCCCCTTTTTGGTAATTGATGACAACCCTTATACAAAGATAGGAATTGAAATTCAATTGAATCCATGTTGCTTGTCCAAACATATTTACCATGTGTAAAAAGATATGGACAAGTTTCATGAACCCTAAGTGATAGCAATTGCTCCCCCTACATATGTGCTAAGAGTTTGGATTGAAGCTTGCACATATGCTTAGATAGTAAACGTAGGAGTCAATGTCTACCATATGATGCTAAGGTATAAAAGATTGACCTTTGAAGCGTGATACCAATCGGAGTGCACCAATATACCATCCTTAGCACCATGGTTAGCTCAATACCACTTAGAAATATTTGGAAGTGAAATCACTAGATATCCTATGCATGCTAGTTTGCATTTCATCATTCAAATCTACAACTAGCATACATCACACAAGCATGGATATTATAAATATGGAACTTATGCCATGCAAGCAAACATATGAAATGCACGTTCAAATGCACCATACAAGTTTGTGAGCTTGCTCCCCCTACTTGTGTGCTCAAAATTTTAGTTGATCCCTTTCCTTTGTTATATCTCTCCCCCTTATCCCCTTTATCTTTGTTTCTCTCCCCCTTTGTCATCAATGACCACAAAGGTTCTAAATAGAATTACTTGTAGGGTCGAGATTATCAATGTCAATCAATGGGGTGAGGGTTATTTTCCCAAATTTGGTTCAATTCTAGATTATTTCCCAAAGATATTTAACTCGGTTT